GGTATGCGTCTGGGAAATGTAATTTGGCATTTTCACCCGCGCAGTGCAACGTTTCGTGGCCCCATAGGTCGCTCTACCGAAGCCCCCAGTGGGACCGTCCGCATGCGCCCCGGAAACCCAATTTGGCATTTTCACTCGCTCAGTAGAGCGCTTCGTGGCCCCATAAGGAGCTCCACCGAAGCCCCTAGTGGGACCGTCCGCATGCGTCCCGGAAACCCAATTCGGCACACCACCCACACAGTACAGCGTTCCCCCCCGCCCAGTGCAGCGCTTCGTGGCCCCATGGGGAGCTTCACCGAAGCAGATATTCACAATTACGGTACCCACAACTGCATATGGTTGGGACCTTCGCCAGGATCATTTTTAGAAAAAACCCAAGTGGCAAAACAAACAAATCCCAAAATCGTCCCCGGACTCTGTTTTTGATTACTCTGGAAATAATCCTCCCGTAGAGGGGCTCGCCCAACTTGAGCGTGCCCCCGCCCCCCCACACCTCCTCCCCCCCGTGTCGCCTTCCCTCGACAACCCTCGAGCCTCCTGGACCAGCACAGGCGGGGGCAGCTCGCCCAGGACGGGGGCGCGTGGGAGTGCAGAGGGGGTAGGGGTAGGGGCAGGGGGCCGCCGCCATCCCTCCTCTGCCCCCCTCTCTCTAGGGGAGCAAAGAGTGGCATAAGCATAAAAACTCGGAGGTCCGCGCGGATTTCTCGGATCGGCGCTGGACCCCCCTCCCTGGCGCGCGGAGCGCGCCAAAGGCGGCGCCGGAGGCGCCGCCGGGGGGCCCCAACGCCGATCCGAGAAATCCGCGTGGACTTCCGAGATTTTATGCTTACTCCAGATTTCGTAATACAGGGAGGGGGGTCTCATTTCGGGGGGGGTCTCTTCCAGGCTATCTTGGAGGGCCTGGGGGGGTCTGGGGACGATGTTTTGGAGGTGTCTTGGAGGGTCCAGACCCCCTCCCTTTTATTACGAAATCTGGAGTATGCCACTTTTTGTTCCCCTACTCTCGTATCGTGGTCGTGGTCGTCGTCGTTCTCTTCCATCGGTGGCCACCCTCTTCCGCTGTGCCTCACCGCTGCGCGTCGTCCAGCGCGGATCATCCTCATCGGGAGTATGAGCAGAGCAGGGAGGGAGGAGGGGGAGGAGAGGAGGAGGGACGCGGGGCGCTATCTATTCAGAACGAGGACCCAACACCACAGGATGGTCGGGAACAAGGGAGTAAAACAATCTCAAATGCCACCGAAAACCGTCCGGGGTACGAGAAGCCTGCGTCACCCCCCCTGTGAGAATCCCGTGAACGAACCGGCGCATCCGCGGCCCTGCCGGAATTCGGCAACTCCGCCACCTCGGCCTTCCTGCCTCTCTCCTCGCCCCCTGCTCCGCCTCCTCCTAACTCTTTCCGCCACCTCCTCCTCGTCCCCCCCTCCTTCATCGTCCTCTCCCTCCCTCACGTTCTCGCGAGGGTCTCGCTCGGCTGCTGCAACAGGTGCGGATAGCCCAGGTGGAGCAACACATGTGCTCAAGAGCTCCGATCGCCGATGTCTTCGACGACTCTACCCAGCGAATGCGGTCAATGTCCGCTCCCGGACTATCCATCCTTTTTGCTTCCAGCGACTTGCTCTCGCAACACTGGGGTAGGAAGTTCAGGGTCCGGCGACCTCCGGAGTCGAAGATCTTCTGAACGCCGAAGGCCAACACCAGCACCAGCATGGGGGCAGACTCGTACCTGTAGCGCGAGTGCGGATGCTATGTGGATAGCGGAGGACGGGGAAGATGGCGATGGATGAGAGAGGGGGAGATTAGGAAAAGAGAGTCAAGAAGGATGAGGGGGTGAGTGGGGGTAGGGGAAGGTGGAGGAAGACGAGACGATGACGATGGAGCGCGCAGATGTGGCAAAGCCAGGGGACCTCCTGTGCCGTCGCGAGCGGGCCCTGATGAAGGAGGAGGGGAGATGAAGGGGTGAAGTGACAGTCTGGGAAAGGGCCTCCCTGTTCCTTGACACTCCTACTGCGCCTCCGCCTCCACCTCCGCTTCCTCTCATGGCGCTGTAGCCCTCGCGGACCTGACCTCGCATCTGGCTGCAGGAGTGCAACTTTCATTTGGACGCATGGGGGAAATTGCATATCACATACCAAATGCACGAACGCATGCACGTGTTTGAATCAGCGGGTGCCAGCCTCGCAAAATTAATGCAGGGTTGGATTTCTGAATTACCAAATTCCAGGCAATGAGTAGAGGGCGTTATGGACTGGGCCGAGGTATGTCAGGGCAGCGAAGGCTACAGGGATAACTCGCTCCCTCATTCGGGCCTCTCCCCGCCTCTCCCTGGGGCCCTCCACCACTCCGACAATTCCTGCAGATCGGGCTGCCCGAAGCATGTCTCGAGCAACATCCCATTGGTACGAGAGGCCGACGGCGATCATGCACACGGCCATGCCGAAAAAACCCCACATCTGGAACGTCCGCCGCCCAAACTTGCCCATCCACATCGTGAGGACGAAACCTGGCGACGGGGGCCAGAGACTGCCTGCCCGTTCTACTCCGATCGATGACTGAGGTCACACTTCTGCCCGTCAGTGCTCATGAGAAAAGAAGCATGTTAAGACTGAACTGTGCTGTGCTGCCAAAGCTCTGGATGGGAAGGCAAGCCGCAACCGCTCGGAATAACAAGTCGCTCTTGCCGGACTTATTGCCAAGTGGTAAAATTGCCGCGAATCAATATTTGGCGAAGGCACCGCGCCAAAATGCCACGCGAACGAACGTTTCGTTTTGACATCTTGTCCCCCACATCCTAAGTGGGGTTCTTGTTTTCTCCGGACACCCCGCGCAGTCCTCCCTCACCCCCTCTCTCCCTCGTCGTCATCACTGACCCTCACTCACTCCTTCACTCACTCATCAACATCATCACAATCACCATCATCATCAGCGTCATCATCATATTCATCATCTTCATCATCTTCATCAATCACACACTCACACTCACTCAATCACACACTCACGCACTCACTTCTCATCGTCACCATAATCATCATCACTCACCCACTCATTCACTCACTCACCATCATCATTCACTCACTCATCATTTCGTCACCCTCACCCCCTAGCATGACAATGGAGGATGTCTCAGGCGAGAGCCTTCTCCTCATGGGGTCCGCACTTCATGTTCGAATCCGAGGCGGGTCATCGGCATCCTGAAAATGTCGTCAATTTTGGGCTCCGCAGGCCGAATATGGAGGAAGTATCCGGCGGGAGCCTCGTCTATGGATGATGCCAGGAAGTCTCAGGTGGGACCCCCCTCCCTGAGGGGCCCGCAGTTCATGTTCGAATCCGAGGCGGGTCATCGGCATCCTGTAACTGTCGTCACTTGTGGGCTCCATGAAGTATCAGGCGGGAGCCTCGTCTGTGAGTGAATTGTAAAGAAGTCTCAGGCGGGAGCTCCCTCCTTCAGGGGCCCGCACTGCATGTTCGACTCCGAGGCCGTTCATCGGCATCCTGTAACTGTAATCACTTATCGGCTCCTCAGGCCTGAATATGGAGGAAGTATCAGGCGGAAGCTTCGTCTGTGAGTGAATTGCCAGGAAGTCTCAGGCGGGAGCCCCCTCCATAAGGGGACCGCACTTCATGTTCGAATCCGAGGCGGGTCATTGGCATCCTGTAACTGTGGTCACTTGTGGGCTCCTCAGGCCTGAATATGGAGGAAGTATCAGGCGGCAGCCTCGTCTGTGAGTGATTTGTGAGGACGTCTCAGGCGGGAGTTCCATCCTTCAGGGGCCCGCACCTGTTGTTCGAATCCGAGGCGGGTCATTGGCATCCTGAAACTGTCGTCACTTTTGGGCTCCCCAGGCATGAATATGGAGAAATATCAGGCGGGAGCATCGTCTGTGAGCGAATTGTGAGGACGTCTCAGGCGGGAGCACCCTCCGTAAGGGGCCCGCACTTCATGTTCGAATCCGAGGCGGGCCATCGGCATCCTGTAACTGTCGTCACTTTTGGGCTCCTCAAGCCTGAATCTAGGGGAAGTATCGGGCGGGAGTTCCCTCCCTAAGAGGCACGCGCTGCTTGTTCGAATCCGAGGCGGGTCATCGGCATCATGTAACTGTCGTCAGTTTGGGGCTCCTCAAACCTGAAGATGGAGGACGAATCAAGTGGGAACCTCGTCTGTGGGTGAATTGTGAGGAAGTCTTAGGCGGGAGTTCCCTCCCCAAGGGGCCCGCACTGCTTGTTCGAATCCGATGCGGGTCATCGGCGTCCTGTAACTGTCGTCACTTTTGGGCTCCTCAGGTAGAAATATGGAGGAGTATCAGGCGGGAGCATCGTCTGTGAGTGAATTGCAAGGAAGTCTCGAGCGGGAGCCCCCTCCCTACCGGGCCCGCGCTGTATGTTTGAATCCGAAGCTGGTCATCGGGAGCCTCGTCTGTGAGTGAATTGTGAGGACGTCTCAGGCGGGAGCCCCCTCCTCAAGGGGACCGCACTTCACGTTCGAATCCGAGGCGGGTCATCGGCATCCTGTAACTGTCGTCATTTTTGGGTCTGTCAGGCCTGAATATGGAGGAATACGAGGCGGGAGCCTCGTCTGTGGGTGACTTGTGAGGAATTCTCAAGCGGGAGCTCCCCTTCAAGGGGCCCGCAGTGCATGTTCGAGTCAGAAGCGGTTTATCGCAATCCTTTAGCCGTCGTCGCTTTAGGCTCCTCGGGCCTGAATATGGAGGAAGTATATGGCGGGAGCATCGTTTGTGAGTGAATTGCCAGGAAGTCTCAGGCGGGAACTCCCCCGTCGTCATCGTCGTCGTCGATGTCGGGTCGGCGTTTTGATTTTGGCGTCTGGGGGCGAACATTGACCCACGACGAAGAACTGCGCCCGGTACACTTCGGTGGAGGTCTGAAGACCGATTTGGAGGACCGAGGTCGGAGGAAGAAGTATACGTCGAGCTTCGGACTCCGAAGTTCAACAGTCGAGGTTCGTAGAAGCTTTTCGGCCCCCAAGGCCCTTCTCGTCGCAACGGCTGGCGGACAGGGAGGGGGAGAGCGAAGGAGGCGAGGAGAAGGCGGAGGAAGAGGAGGAGGAGGAAGAGGCTTGTCGCGGAATCCTGTAACAGTCGTCACTTATGGGTTCCCGAAACGTATCAAGCGGGAACCTCCTCTTTGAGTAAATTACGAACAAGTTTCAGGCGGGACCCCCCCCCGTATGGGGCCTGCGCGTCACGTTACTAATCCGAACGGGTCATCCCATCCCTGTAACTGTCGCCACATTTGGGTTCCTGAGGCTGGCACTGAGCGAGGCGAGAGCTGTTGGCCTCGTCAGGTCTGCGAGTCTCTGGCCGCGTGCGACTCTTGTATCATCCAGCCAGCGTCGGCGAGAGCCTCTGGCCTCCTCACCCGTGCAAGCCTCTTGCCGCACAGGACGTCTAGTCCACCTGGGAAAAAAAGGCTGGCCTCGGACAGCCCCGGCGTCCTGGACCCTCGGCGCTCGCAAGACAACTTTCTGCTCGATTGCGGTATGGTGCTCTACTGGGGGACGCTCGCGAGGTGGATCAACACGCGCGCTCGTCGCGACGCACAGCGCCTCGGCGTCCCCCTCGTTTTCCTGCAGGCCGTAGACGAGTGCGGTGCAATTCAAGGCGATCCAGACGCGGGCCGACGCCTCCTGAACGTCCCGAACATGAACCAAACGGGGGACATGCATGGCGTTTTACCGGCACATGTCGACATGGATGTTCGGTTCACGGCCGCGCAAGAGGAGTTGAAAAAAACTTGGGACTCGTGCAGGAGCTATGGGCGACCATCGTGCCCTTCGGCTTCCACCCGCACGACGAGCGGGACTACGAGGACCGCGCGCCGGGCCAACTCTTTCGCCCCCGCTACTTACTGCAGGGAATCTGACTGCAGGTCCACGGCTTCAAAGAGTCCCCGATCTACAAGGAGGTCGCCGATCTGCTGTGGGCGCCGAAGGCGCCGTCGAACACGGCGAGGCCGAAGCGCGGGCGAGGAGCTTGCTCATGTTCAGGCCCAGCGAGCAGAAACTCACGTGGCAGAGCTCGGCTGCGCACGCTGTGCGCCGCTCGGAGTTCTCCCACCTGACCTCCACGCTGTCGCAGGGCCAGACGTTGCGCAAAGGCGTCACCGATTGCGCGAGGGATGGGGACGCTAGCCGCACGGGCATGTCGGACGAGCAGTGGTGGCTGCACCTCCACGTCATGATCTCCCGCGCAACGTGCATTCGGAACATGTTGATCCTGCGGCCGCCGTCGCGCCTGTTTCTGGAGCGCGGGAGGCGCTCAAAAAGTCCGAGAGGGGAAGCGAAGACCTCCAGGTATGAGGCCGAGCAGCTTGCCGCGGAGTTTGGTTTCGTGCTGAATCCCGCATCAGCGCCGCGGCGCGCAGCTAGAGGCCCGCGGGGTTGTCCCAACGGTCTGGCCCGCGGGGTTGTACCGACGGCGTGCCCCCGCGCCCCGGCGGCCCGCGGGGTTGTCCCAAAGGCATGGCCCGCGGAGCTGCCCCAAAAGCCTCGCGAACCAGCCGTCGGCGAATGCGCGCGCGCTGGCCGAAGCAGCTACAGCGCGCCGATGGAAATCGATTTGCTTCCCCCGACCAGGGGGAAGGGGGGAGCACATGGAGAAAAAACAAGGGGAGGACGACGACGGGGAACGGATTGGGAGAGGGCGGCGATGATGATGATGATGATGAGGAGGAGGAGGAGGAGTATACATAGAAGAAGGAGGGAAATAAATAGAAGGAGGAGCAGGGGGAGCAGGAGGAGGAGAAGGACGAGAGGGCAGAGCAGAGGGCGAGAGGAGGGTGTCTGCCAGGGCGAGGGGGAAAGGGCAAAGGGCAAGCTAATCATATGCTCATGTGAGGACCTCCCGTCGGAGTACTTATTTGGCGGAGGCCCGAAAGCGTAGTAGTACTCGTAGTAGGTCGTAGTAGGTCGTAGTAGGTCGTAGTAGGTGTACGTAGTAGTAGTAGTAGTAGTAGTAGTAGTAGTAGTAGTAGTAGTAGTAGTAGTAGTAGTAGTAGTATCAGTAGTAGTAGTAGTCGTAGTAGTAGTAGTAGTAGTAGTAATAGGTCGTAGTAGGTGTACGTAGTAGTAGTAGTAGTAGTAGTAGTAGTAGTAGTAGTAGTAGTAGCGTAGCAGTGGTAGTAGTAGTAGTAGTAGTAGTAGTAGTGGTAGCAGTATTAGGATTACTAGTAGTAGTAGTGGTAGTAGTAGTAGTAGTAAAAGTAGTAGTAGTCGTAGTAGTAGTAGTCGTAGTAGCAGTAGTAGTCGTAGCAGTAGTAGGAGTAGTAAGTAGTAGTAGTAGTAGTAGTAGTAGTAGTAGTCGTCGTAGTAGTAGTAGTAGTAGTAGAAGTAGTAGTAGTAGTAGTAGTAGTACGTAGTACTGGTACTGGTACTGGTACTAGTACTAGTAGTGGTAGTAGTCGTAGTAACAGAAGTAGTAGTGGTGGTAGTAGTAGTAGTAGCAGTAGTAGTGGTAGTAGTAGTAGTAGTAGCAGTAGTAGTAGTAG